GACCAGTCTCTGGAGAATGTTATCATGTTTGGTAAGGTGGAGGGTCAGAGAAAAAGAGGAAGACCCCCAATGAAATAGCTTAGCCAAGTGGCAGCATTGATGGACTCAAGCGTGGCAACAGTAGTGAGGTTGGCCCAGGATCAGGCAGTGTTTCGTTCTGCTGTGTATAAGGTCACTATGATGGCAACTTAACAACAACTTAACAACTCGATGGCACTTAACAACAACATAGTGTAAGGATCTCTGATAGTGGTTACGAATCAGGCTGCTAACCTTAATTAAAGTCCATAGTTTAAAACTACCAGCTGTTCCATGGGAGAAAGATGAGGCTTTCTGCTCCTGTAAAGACCCTGTGCAGGGTCACTATGAGTCAGAACCGACTCCACGGTACAACAACAATAGGGTTAATGTGGTTAGTGTGGAGTCCTGGTGTGGTGTTATAGGTTAATGCGCCAGACTGCAAAGCCATTGAACTGCAAGGGTGGTGGCTCAAGCTTACCAGCTGCTCCTCAGAAACCCTATATGGGGTCACTATGGGTTGGAACTGACTCAATGGCACTTAACTACATCAACAACAGAGTCAGTATGAGTCAATAGCAGTGGGTGGGTTTAAGAGTACAAATTATTCTAGAAGGAACAGCACATTAATTATTGTTCATCTGCTATACCCTAGTGTATGTTTCAAATTCCTTTTAAAATAAAGGGGTGGGTGGGAATGATGGGAAGAGGGTCAAAGAGAGAAGACTGTAGAACCAAGGGAGCTGAGTGCTTAAAAACATCATGTATTTTTGTTTTTATGGCCAGTTCTTTTATTAAATATAGTTTTTGGTACTGTGGTTACAAACTATACCTCACAGCCAAACCTTGACCACGTCCTCTTGTTGTAAGGTCCTTATCAAAGGGTTGTCAACAAATAACCAGAATACAAAGCTTGTGAGGAACATATGTGGCCTACAAAACATTTTCTCTGTGGCCCTTGACATAGTTTGCTGCTGTTGCTGTGGGCATTGGAGTTGCTTCCAACTTATAGCAACCCTGTATAGGTTTTCTGAGACTCAGTCTTTAGAGGAGCAAAGTCTCAGTTTTTCCCCACAGAGTGCCTTGTGGACTCAAAGTGCTGACCTTGCAGTTAGCAGCCCAATGTGCCAATGTGTAACCCACTACACTAAGTTAGTTGTTGTTGTGAAGTGCCTTTCAGTCAGCACCGACTCATAGTGACCCCATATAGGGTTTCTGAGGAGTGGCTGGTGAGCTTGAACCGCCAACCTTGCAGTTCAAAGCGACCTTACAGTTCAGCTCATTAACCCACAGCACCACACCAGACTCCACACTAAGTTAGTAGTCCAGTGCTTATCCTATAGTGACATACCAGGACTCCACCACCCATGTTGCTGTTATTGTTAAGTGCCATTGAGGTCGAGTTGTTTCCAACTCACAGCAACCCTGTATAGGGTTTCCAAAGAGTGGTTGTTAGCAGTCCTAAAGCACCACACCATCCCTGTGTTGTTTGTTGTCCATTCTGACTCCTAGTGACCCTATGTAAGTTTTCCAAGGAGCAGCTGGTGGGTTTGAAGTCTAGTGCTGATCCTACAGCATCACAGCAGGAATCCCTCTTTTTGTTGTTGTTGTTAAGTGCCATCCAGCTGATTCCAACCCATAGGGTTTCCAAGGAGCTTGAACCACTGACCTTGCAGTTCAAATGGCTTTGCAGTCGGGTGCATTAACCTGGTTTCACAGCATGACTCCAGGCATCCCTGTAGGGCATAGTAAATCCTGTGGAGGTTTGTGGGAATTACTTTGGAAGCTTCCTTTGTTTAGGCCCATCTGTCAGTTTGTTGTACTGTGATGGCTTGTTTGTTGTTGTGAAGTTGGAAACTATGCCATTATTTCGAATACCTATAGCATCACCCATGGTGAACAGGTTTCAGCAATTTCTGCAATAAGACAGACTAGGAAGAAAAGCCTGATAATCTATTTCCAAATATCAGCCAACGACAACCATATGGTTCACAACAGAATATTGTCCAATATGGTGCTGGGAGATGAGCCACCAAGATCGGAAGACACATAAAATGCACAGTGGTCCCAACAATGGATTCAAGCAGGCAAACAGTCATGAAGATGGTGCAGGACCATGTAATTGTTGGTTCTCTTGCCCATGGGGTTGCAATGAGTCAAGAGACAATTTGATGGCAACCAACAATTCATGTGTGCCATCATGTGTGCCGTCGTAGGCTAAGCAGTTCAAACCCACCCATTGTTCTCTGGAAACCCTATGTTGTTGTTGTTAAGTGCCGTCAAGTCAGTTCCGACCCATACCAACCCTGAACAGGGTTTCCGAGGCTGTAAATCTTTACGGGAGCAGAAAGCCTCACCTTTCTCCTGTGGAGCAGCTGGTAGTTTCGAACTGCTGACCTTGCGGTTCACAGCCTGATTCGTAACCACTATGCTACCAGAGCTCCTTTACAGGGTGGTTATGAGTCAGAACCAATTCGATGGTACTTAACATGTGTGAGATTTGGTACCAACTGTCCATTACCTTTGTGTGGTAGCTTACTAGTCAATGAGAACTTCTCAGGGTTTGGAAGACAGCTGAGAGCAGGAAAACATAAACTATCAGAAAAAAAAAAAAAGTCACGAGCTTGGAAGTGGAATAAAAGGCCACCATGACCTGCCTGGCAATTAGCCAGCTGCCGGTAAACATTATGGCAAGAATCTACAGTAAGGACTTGGTTTATCATTATTAGGCTACTAGTTCAAGGATATTTGTAACAGGTAAGAGAGAGAAAATATTTAGAAAGAGGCCAGAGTTCCGATGACAGGAAATATACAAAAGGTGATATAAAACTGATTTAGAAATCTTAGAGAAATTAAAGCAATAAAAATATGCATCCTGTGATTCATCAGACTCTGGAAATCCATCTTAAGGAAATAATACAAAATTAAGTTAAAGTCACACAGATGTTTCTGGCAGTGCTCTTTGAAAGAGAATATGAGAAGTTTCCTATATCCCAAAACAAAGACTCAGTGGGTAACAATGGCATCTCTACCAGATGGCACATTAAGGAGTCATTAGCAGTGAAGGCTATAAAACGCAGAGCAGTGCCTGGCTCTATCACTACTCTCAAGCCTTTTCCAAGGGTGGAAGAGACAGAACCAAACTCCCAGGGAGACTGGGAAACAAGCCCAATGGGACTGGCTCCAAGGGAAAATTTTTATACAAGTCTCATGTCTTACCTTAAAAACACATGCAAATTAGAATAGATTCACTCATTTTAATATATAAACCATGTGGCACAAGTAGCCTAGGCAAACAAGCTATGTGGCTTCGTCCCACCAGTGCAGGGTCCCAGTTTGAAAAACAGATTGTTAAATGAAAATCAGTAGGAAAGAGAATGGGATGTACACCAATGATTTTATCTCACTAAAACAACCACAAAAGAATGGGGGACATTTAAAATGAATAGTGGCTGAGTTGGAATACTACATTTTAGGTAATTTCATTATTTTCTGTTTCCTTGCTTTGGTAATGTGGTTTTATTATTTTGCAATAAAAATGAGATTTTAAAAAATCTTGCTAAGTTGCTAAACCACTTGGGCGGTTTTTGCTAAACAAAATCTGAGACAGATGCTCACAACACTAGTTTTCAATTCTATGCTTTCCATGTTGGTATTCTTATTTCTACTAATTTAAAGAAATGTAGGCTTAAAAATGTGAATCAAAGGTTACAAATGTATTGAATTTGCTGTAAATAAGTTGACCTGCAGCCAAAGACCAAACTTCAAATGAAATAAAACCTACAACTTTTGGTACCAATCAGACTAGATAAAGCAAAACATGAAGAAAAAAAAAAATTGTAATGCCTTCGTAGACTAAACATTCATTTGTTGGTTACACACAGCCTATGAAGAATGGATCCAAGTGTTTCTCAATTTGCGCAATCAACAATAATTACATCTAAGTCATCAGCAAAACCAAACTCTAAATTCACTGCCATCAAGTCAACTCCAATGCATAGCGACCCATACAGGGTTTCCCAGGCAGTAAATCTTTACAGGAGCAGAAAGCCTCTTCTTTCTTCCATGAAGCGGCGGTTAGCAGTTCAGTGCTCATCCTATAGCGTCACCAAACATCAGCAAAAGGAAGCCCTTGTGTCGGTTTCTCAACAGGAGACTACTGACGTGTTTTCATTGGCGCCTGGTGTACAGATGCCCTGTGATGTACACAGCCTGCTTATACTTCCATAGGCTACACACAAGCAGGTAAGGCGTGGGTAAACCTCAGTGATCGCAGGGTCAGGCAATGCAGAAGCCCTTAATTGCTAACTTAGGTCTGCCTGCATGTGATCTTGGGAGCAGTCTCACCCCTCCCCTATCAAGCACCAAAAACTATAATATTGGTGAATAAAAGTGCTTCTGTTCAGTTATAATCATTTTTTTTTTAAAAAAAAGTATAGCTTAATATTTATTTCTTTGTCATATAGTTGTTGTAAAGTGCCTTCGAGTTGATTCTGATTCATAGCTACTCTGTATAAGGTTTCTGAGGAGCAGCTGGTGGGTTGAACTGCTGACGTTGTGGTTAGCATACAGTTGTCAAAATTAGTAAGACTTCTATCTCTAATTTATCAAGAATGAGGTCTTAAAAAAAAAAGGTCTTTAAAATTAGAAGTCACCATTATATTTATCTACCTAATTAGTAAATCAGATGAACACTAAACTGACCATGGCTCAACACAGTAGCATCACACTGCTGAAAAGCACCTGGAATTCGCTAATTTTACAGATTTGTTCAGTTAGCCATAACTTGATAATTACAGAAAAATTTTGAAATATATGTTGAATGACTAATCACCAATAGCACTGCTAATTGACCATGCTTTGTAAGCCGTGTGAAAGGGAAGCTAATTATACACATTGGCCTCTGACTGTTGAGCAGATTTTATTTTTGTAGCAAGAAAGCCGCAAAGAGGGTGCAAGTACAGCCTTTGAGCTGTGAGCTCTCAGTGTCGTGGTGACTCTCGTCCTGAAGCAGGCTGAGGCATTCTGAATTTCAAGAGGTCCAGGTTCACATCTGAGAAGGTGTACACAGTGTAGTTGTGGTGCTGCAGATTCTTGTAGGTGGTGTTGTCAAACGGCTCGACAGGTATAGCAGCTGGCTCCTTCTCTGTGGTAGAAACACACAGCCCATGAGAACACAGCGAAAAGCAGCACAGTTCTTTTTATGTAAGTCCGTTTGCACACATCACTTACATACCAAGCAATCTTCATAAATCCTACCTGCATTGCATAAATTGTCTAATTACAAGAGTAAAGTTTAGGAAAGCAACAGATTCTGCACAAATAGAAGAAAGGTATTAGTTAAACATGTGCTTTTAAAATACATAGTATAGCTTTAATAATGAAGAAGTAAAATAGTTATTACAAAGTGTCTTAACAGCTTTGTATCTGTCCAGGCCCAGGACTTGCCAGACTTTTGAACCTCTCTAGAACTATTATAGAGTATCTTCAGAGCAATGAAAAATGCTTGGGGTAGGGTGGGGGTGTGGGGGGGAGATGAGAAATCTGTCTAAAACAGAAGTAAGTCATTTATAGAAGAACATTTAGAAGCAGAAACTAAGTGAGCCCTCTAATTCTACAAACAGAGAAAACGAGATGAATTCTGACTCTTTCAAAACGTATGATAAGTAACAGGCCAAATCAAACTGAACCCATTGCCATAGAGTTGATTTTGATTCAGAGTGGCCCGACAGGACAGAGGAGACCTGTCCCATAGGCTTTACAGAAGCCGACTGTTCCATCTTTCTCCCTGGAAGCAGCTGCCGTTTGAACAATATGTTTCTCTTGTACCGAAGCAATGTTTTTCTTTTATATAGTGCTTCAGTTAGCAGCCAAGCACGTAACCACTGTATCAGCAAGGCAAATGGTTTTTGAGAAAGTTGTTGGTATAGTTTTAGACTCAGAGACTAATAATATTTATTTTTCTTTAAGCAGAAAAAGAATGTAAAATGCAGATTCCTAAATATTTAGTAAGGCTCCTGGGTGGCACAAATGATGAAGTGCTTGGCCACTTACCAAAAGCCTGGTGGTTCAAGTGAACCTAGCAGTACTTCAGAAGAAAGTTTTGGGGAATCTACTACTGAAAATCAGCCATTGGAAACCCTATGGAGTAAAGGTTTACTCTGACAAACTATGTGTGTCAGAAACAACTCCATCACAACTGGAATTTTTTAAAATTGTTGTTGTTTAAATATTTAGGAATCTGAAAACTAAAAGTATGTGACTGGCTCTTGTAACCTGGCATTTCACAGACAATGACAAAATGAAGCATGCACAGGCAGCAGGCTATGTGTGGGTCAGATTCTGACTTGAGACTTCTAGAAACCATACCGTTAGGGTTGTTTGAACTTCTATTTGTGTTGCACCAACAATACTTTAAACATAGTTTTCTAGACTTGAATACAAGCTTAACTTTTCACTTTTTAAAATTTTAGTTGTGTTATCAAAATGCTATCTTCTTTGAAAAGCTGCCTTTCCCCCAATCTCAGCAAGTGAAGTATCTTTAAGGTAGTGTGTGGGTGCATCGTCCAAACAGAGTTTATGGTTTACACAGAGGACGGTAGTAACCAAAGGGGACTGTGGAGTCAGCAATCTCCTCCCCAAGCCAACCTAATCTACCTGGAAGGCAAAAAACCAGGTCACTGACAAGTAGAAACTTGAATCTGTTTCTTCTATGTTTTTGCTGTGTATATAAGGAACTCTGGTAGCGTAGCGGTTACAAATCGGGCTGTGAACCGCAAGGTCAGCAGTTCGAAACTATCAGCTGTTCTGTGGGAGAAAGATGAGGCATTCTGCTCCCGTAAAGATTTATAGCCTCGGAAACCCTGTACAGGGTCACTATGAGTCGGAACTGACTCCATAGCACATAACAACAACAACAACATATTTCAAAAACAAAATAATCAAATATGATTATTAAAAAAACCCAAAACTTGGGGAGGAAGACTACACAATAGACCTCAGAGTCCACATGGCGTAAACCAAGCTCCTGGAATGGGAGTCGTGCTCTTGGCTGTCTTCTTTAGCCTTTGAAGGGGAAAGCAAATATTTTAAAATATCATATCTGTTAAAAATTAAAACACAAACCGCCCCCCAAAAATCTGAAACTTTCAAATTTATAGTGTGTTTTTCTCACGCAGGCGTTGGTGCATTTCCCCAATCTCAACGGAGAACGCAGGACTGGGAACAGCAGCAGCAGAAAATGCAGTTCCTGGAGCCTTGAGAAGTCGGGTAAGTGCCGGCACTGTGCGTATTAATGAAAAGATGAAAATGGAGAGGAAGGAAAGCACAGGACTTTTGTGGACATATTGTAACCAGTAGCCATAATGTACCAATGGATGTACACGAGGCAAAGGAGAGGCTTCCAGCAGCAGACAGAGCAGACACCAGGAGGAGGAGTTGGACTTGTTAGTCATGATGGAGCTTCGAGAAATCTTGAAGAGGTAGCGTGTCTACAATGGAAGACTGCCTGCCATTCAGGTTTCTCTAGGACCCATCTAAAGTACATTATGTTTTATAAAGTTCACTGAGCAAGAAAAAGATAATAGGAGTCAACACTAATCCTCTTTAAAATTTTATGGAAGCAATAAAACCCCTCAGAAAAACATATCGTAGAAAACTATAGCAGCTCACTGTTTATTTGTTGAGTCAATGGCAGTCTTGCTGTCAAATGACAAGGACATTTATGCCTTGGGGTAACACTCACTATTCTAATTCCTAAAATGCCCATTTCCCCTTATGTTAAATCATAATCTAGTTTCAGTCACCTGAAGACTATAATGCCAAGTGTAATTAATGCTTTTCAATTAAGTAAGTTAATTAGGAGACTCCCCCCTCCCCTTCTCTCACAAGTTCATGAGAGGAACACCTGGACACCCTCAAAAGTTAAAGGTGATGGTATTACACTACGGTATTGAAAAAAAATATATGGGTTAAGTAATAGTCAAGAAAGCCAAGGGCACATGCTTTCACTTTAAAACAAATTTAAAATAGTTGAGGGGTTTGGTATATAAAGATGTGAATATTTATAATTAAGATATGCCTCCTTGCTTATCTGTGATAAGCCAAATTTCTATTACAGAATCTAACTGTAATACTTCCTTATAATCAGAGAGGTATTAAAAATAAGCCTCTAGAGTTTAACCATCCTCTAAAGGAGCTCTGGTAGCGTAGCGGTTACGAATCGGGCTGCGAACCTTAAGGTCAGCAGTTCAAAACTACCAGCTGTTCCGTGGAAGAAAGATGAGGCTTTCTGCTCCCATAAAGATTTACAGTCTCAGAAACCCTGTACAGTGTCACTATGAGTCAGAACAGACTCCATGGCACATAACAACAACAACAACAAAGGACTCCATGGTACTTAACAAGAATAACAACAACAAAAGGACCAAGGGTCAGAATGGACTCTATGGCACTTAACAACAACGAAGGACTACGAAGAACTGTCAACCATAAATTAAGGTATACCCTGTATGTTGTCTGGGTCTTCCATTGGAGTTGCTGACTCTTGAATTATGTCGCCCTTTTCCTTAAGGCTTAGTACTGGTATCTTCTCATCAAAAACATCTTTGCTCTGAGCAGGAACAGTCTTCAAACTTCCAACTGCTACTCGATCTTCCAAAACATTTTCTGTACTCTGAGAAGTTACCTTCCATGTCGGTTCTGGCACTTGGTTTGCCAAGTTTTTTTCAACTGTCTCAGAAGGTGCTGCCTGCAGCTGTTTTTCTGCCCCAGGTTCCTTAGCCATTAGTGTTGGCATGGGACTTGGTTGTGGAGATAATCCTGAATCTGTGTGATCAAGTAAATTTTCTTTTGGCACAACTGGCTCTTGACTTTCTCTATCTATTTCATTGAATTTAAATTTATTTTGTAATTGCTTTTCTTTGGCATATTGCTTCTTAACCCCTTCTTCCACCTTTAACTGGGGCACTGTTTTCTTCTTTGGCAGATGGGCTTTCTCTGGATATGAGGTGTCCCTATGTGGCATCTGGGACCAGATCTTTTCTTTGGCTGCTATCACAATTTGGGAGGATCTGCCTTCAGCAGAAGCCTCTGATTTTGGAGACCTTCTTTGGGCTTTGCTCACCACTCGAGTACCAATTTCTGCGACATGCTCCTCCTCCTCAGACTCTGAGTCAGAATTGCTGGACGAAGATGAGGATGACGCCTCCTCCACTGCTTTCCTGTTTCCCTGGTGAGTTTCTACATCAGAACCCTGCTTTTGGAATGGAGACGGAACTTTCTGAGGAAACTCTACCAAAGTCTTTCTTGCCAAAAATCTTGGGCCCCCTTCATCAGTAAGCGGCATGATGTCATCAGGGTCTGGACTAGCTACTATCCTGCCTTTATTCATAACTGATGGATAAGAACTGGGTGGAGAGAACTTTTTAGACAGTCCAGCTGCTGGGTGGGAGGCTAGGAGCTTGTCCCTCGCCTTTGGTTCCACTACATCTAGGAAATGGCACAAAGAGGAACATTATTTTAAATGAAATAAAACCACCTAAACTCATTAGTCATTGTCACAAACATTTCATTACACATCAACTTGTCATTCATGTGCCTTTAATGAACTCATCCTAAGAAGCCTGCCTCAGAAATGCACTCTTTCTTGAAAGGCAAACCATGTGAAAGAGAATACAGTAAAGAACACAGGCATTTTTCTTTATAGCTACAAATTTAAAAACAGAATTTTACTAACAAAAACATTAGTATGTTTCCACATTTCACAATGACAGCTGTTTGATAATTACTTTTATACTACGATTTCATCCAAAGTTAAGACAAATTAAACTATGATATAAACATATTTTCAGATGAGTATATAGTTTTACTAATGCATAATTCCTTCAAATCCTAAAACAAAATAACAAAAAAAAACTTGGTACATCTCAAATACTAAAAAAAGTTATCCATATTGAATGAACCTTAATTTTCTGAACCAAATAGCAAGGAAAATGTGTCCACTCAAAAGTAGAGACAACAATCTGTGTGGGTGTGGGGTGTTGGCGTGAAGAAAGTGGGGAAGGCGTAGAGTGAAGTTATTTAAAGGAAAGGAACAATCAAAAGGAAAAAGTCCTTCAAAACCACACAAGTCATTTGGGGATTTCT